CAGATAAAGATTTTGATATCAAATTTCACCAACAACGCCCATGCCAAAAAAGAATTTCCCTTCTGATAAGTAATATCTTATGTATAGGATTTATCAATATTAAATGAATGGTACATGATTATTTTTAATCGAGTGAACTTTTGAGGTAATTACTAGCTAGTTAAGTGAATGGTGAAATTTGATCATTCTAATTTTCTTGTACTGTAATAAATATTTAAAGAAAGAATTTACATTACATTTATCTTATAAAATGTTAAATATTTTTACAGTTTTGGTGGTCAGGAATATAAGTATTACCTTGATATAAAGTTCCCTTTATTTAAACTTAAAAGCTTTAATGATTCTGTCTTAACATATAAGACAAAATACAAAAACAAAGTGAAAAAATTATCTGATAGAAACATTCACCATGCTCACGAGGCAACGAGTATTATTAATTATGTTATCAAAGAACAAAATAAAGTTGGTGCCTTTATACCACATGCATTAATTATATTAATGTTTAGTTTGTTTAATAAAATGATAATTAGGGTGAATAAACAAAAATTAATAAACATACCGTCTTAAGCTTTGAAATTTGTTGTTTAGATGGAGGATCACGTGCTCCACAGACAGTTAAAACTTCATCACGTGCTAATTCCTGCCACTTAGGATGCATGGCTAGTAAAATGGTGGTCCACGTCAGCAAATTAGACGTGGTATGTTTGCCGGCAAAGAAAATGGTCTTGCATTCTTCGACAATGTCATTAACTGTGATAGTATTTCTATATTCATCATCACTACCTGCTTTGATCATCACTTCCAATAAATCATTCGGACATTCTTCTGACAAAACCTCTTCTTTTTTTCTTCTTTCTTCAATCAGTTTCATCAGAGATTTACGCACTTGTTTATCCAATCTCCAACATATTCTATTCTTTTTACTAGGCAAAAACCTGTCCAAACACAATACCAAAAAAAAAATAAAATTCAAACATAACGCGTTGTTATTCTCGACGATTGTTACAGAGAGATTTAACGATATAACGATATAGACCTGTATCCAGGGATGAATACTTTTTGATAAGCTTCGGTGGCATAAATCATTTGTTGTGCTTGTAACTCAAAGATGGCTTTACCATCTTCGTAGCTGTTTCCAAACACAATACGCGTAATGACATCTTCTGCTAATGTTGAGAACATTTCTGATACTTCAATCTCTACTTTTCCGCTGGCGTTTGACATTTTTGACCATTTGTCTAACATCTCCTTCATGCTCTTTCCCATCATGGGAATCATTAGCTATTATATGTAGGAAAATGATAGATAAATAGGAGTTGAATTTTTCTTTTTTAAATACAAATTGAGGTGATTGTACATAAATGTAGAATTAGTTATAAGTAAAAAAATAAAGTTAAGTTTTTCAAATGATCACTCAGTTGATATAGTTAAGTGATCATCAGAAAAATCAAGTACACTAAAAAAAAAAACCATAGTATTATTATTAGTTGAAATTTAAGACTTACCCTGAGATTTTCTATGTAGAATGTAGGAGTAATAATCTTCCTATGGTGAGCCCATTTTTCACCTTTGAGACTAAGCAAACCATCACCTTCAAGCTTCTTGACAAGGGCTGGTGACTCATTTTTCTCAAAATTATCTGATTTCAGGACGAATATATCCCTAATTAAAGCTGGATCAGAAATGGTGACACGAGCCGTTGGTCCAAACCATATAACAAATATTGAACCTGATACACACCAAAAATAAGTTATTTTAAACTAAAAAAGATGTTAAGTACTTGACAAAAGTCTATTTTAAGTTAGAAAACAAACAACGTAAAACGTTATTGGCGTGAATATATACTCCAAAACTCAGCCAATTTGAATATATCAATCCAAACAAAGGATTGCCAACAGTTAGTTAATTAGCTTCCAAAATATGCATAGAGTGATAGAAACGGAAAGAAAAGTTGAGATAAAGGAAGCGTTAAAGTTTGAATCTAACCTCTCACATTTTCCAATTCAGATGATCTGATCGTGTAAATATTTATACTGGCGATATAAATTTGAAAAAGAATAGGTACGTACCATAGATTTTCTTCCAATGATGGTAGAAGGGGAGAACATTGGGAAGAATGTCATGAGAGGTAAAAGTGGAAGGCCAAGATGGAGTAGTGAAACTTGCAATTTCTTTGAGGTTACCAAAGAGAAAATGGTATTTAGGACCTGTGATACCTTGCTTCTTGAAGTGTTTTTGAATTATTTTTGGTGTCCACCAAAGATGAACAAATGCTTTCTGTATACACAACAGTAACACATACAAAAATAGAATAACACATAACCATTGAAAGCAAAATCCTTCCATATGAACCACTGCTTGATAACTATCAGCTAGCAATTGCCTCCTCTTTTGGCTGGCTACAGCTTTTCCTAGAGAGAGAGAGAGAGAGAGAGGGCTCTTTAATTTGTCTCTCTTTGTTTATAAGATTACAAAGTGAAATATTGAGGTTGTCCAGTTTTATAGCTCAATATTCCAAATCAATTAAAAATTTAGTTATATATGGAGTTTAGTGAGGGTACGTCGTAGTATGTCCAAATTACGGAGGTTGTTCACAATAGACCTTTCACTCGGTTAAAGCATATAAAATAATATAAAAATAAAATAATAGTATTAATATTAAATAATACGATACATAAAATACAAAAAAAAAATGAGTAATTGAATTTAAAGTATATATCTACGAGTAATATATAATATATAAAATTTTGAAATTAAAAAATTGCTTACTATGATAAACAAAAATTATCTAAATATATAAAATATTCTTATAGTAAAAATGTATATAACTTAAATTTAAACTTAAAACAATATGTCTGTCCCAATCGCATGCGGGAAGCCGGGTGCAATTTACAACATTATAAATGATCTGAGAAAACGTAAATTTTAGCGTAAGAAAGACAATAAGGAATGCGAAAATAAACCGATGGAAAATTTGATTTTAATGACTCGTTTATTTATTAAATCAATTTGTTTTGATCTATTCATATTTCATTCGATAGTGTGAACTAAGTGCAGCTCAAATCGTTTTTAAAAAATACTTAAGTGAAATTTTAATTTCATTTATTTTTATAAAGAAGATTCTTAAAAATTGAATTAACGTGATAGTTAACTAGTTTATGAGAAAATCAAATTTGGTTAAAGTAAGAACAAATTCAACTCAATTAACTTTTGTGAAAACATTGAGTAATAGATCAAAACTGTTCAAATTCAGTCTAAGTCGTTTTAACAAATTTAGGATGTAATCCCAAATTTAAGCAATGTTAACAAGGGGCACGCATTGACCCTAGTTCCAATAGGGGGTTACGTTCCGCATTTTCAGAAAGATCATGTGATTCTTCATCCTTATGCGTGCTAGTAACACAGTAAACAACTTTTTATGAATCATTTCATTTTTTTAATAAAAATATATGATCAAAAAGGATATATATAGACAATAGATATATACGAAATATAACTCAATTAGTAACTAGGGGGTACTCCACATATATATCTCTCAATCATTTTCATTTCATTCAAACTATTACGATGACTTTAGACCTAACTTATTATCCCCCACATATATTATTGATCACCAATAAAAAATAATCCCTCGAATAAATTCTTTACCTACCTAATTAATTAAAAGGTTTTGAACCCTGTTCCTAGAATATAATAGAAGGCAATGTTTCAAGTACCGTAAACAAGAAAAATATACTACTAATACTAGCTATCACAATTATTGATCAAAAGAGATATCACTTGCATTTATGCACGCAAAAGCAACTGACATCTACTACTACTATACAGTTCACTTTCACTTGTAATTTATCAACTTTTATATAATTTGGAATTTGGATGGTATAGTGTGGGGTTACATGGAGGTAATATCAAATTTATAGTCAAAATGCGGGACCATTCATGTGGATATATATACCAAAGTTTCACGTGGATAAATAAATCTTTCACCAATATGGGTTTTGGTGTAGTGGTAAAATTGTTTCATCATTAATCAAAAATTTTGAGTTTAAGTCCGAAATATATAAAGAAAATCTTATTTGAAGCGTTACTCTTTAATGGACTCTGCGATGTACGATCCAAATTTGATCAAAAATTCAATATGAGCTCCGAACATCGAAGAAACCATGAATTCCAGTGACATTATGTTTTTTTCTCCCCTTTTTTACGTTTGAGGCAACACACCCTCTTTTCTTCCCTGTCTCCCCAAAATCCATAGAGCCAATGCTGCTATAAGTAATAAGCCTCAGGGGCGGATTAAACTCTTTCACGAACGAATTTTCGGGAATTTAATAGCTTTTGCTTAATTTTTTATTTTGTTATATAAATTTAATTATTAATATGAATTAATTTGAGATTATTTTAGAAACATAAGAACTTCAAATTCTAAATTTGTCTATAATAATTAAGTCTCACAGGAAACTACAATTATTACGTGTATCCATTCTAAATAATTTTCATTGATCAATTATTTCATTTAATAAGCCTCACAGGAAACTACAATTATTACGAGTATCAATTCCAATTAATTTTGATTGATCAATTATTACATTTAATCTCATTTGAAACCCGCAACAATAATACTTAGTATCAACACAATTCTCCTACTATTTCGTTCTTCAATTTTTTGTTACCACATGTGTTGCTTACGTAGCGGTTATCATATTATTTTATTATTATCATTTTTTTCCTTTCTAAATTAATGGTATTGCTTTCTATATCACATCATTTCATTCTTGTTGTTATTTCTAACTTTGCATACCTTTTTCAAACTTCTTTAAAATGATTTACTCAATCTAAAGTCTATTAAAAATAACTTTTCTATCTTAATAAGCTAGATAATAATAAGATTGCATATGCATACTCTATCCTCTTCATACGTCATATCTACAAAGTTACATTGCACTAAATATGTTATTGTTCTACATATTTTCTACCGCGATAAATTTCAAATAGGACTAATTAAAGTATCTAGATAACGTATAAGACCTACACTAAATGTACAAACATGATATGATCAAAACATAATTAATCTCAACTAAATGTACTAACATGATCTCAAAAACTTAATGTCAAGTTGTTTTTCGATTAATTTAAATGCATTCATAGTGATTAATTTGGTTGGGAGGAAGAATGGGTTTTTGGTTTTGGAAGTTTGCACATAAATTTGGGCACATGGAAAAGAAAAAAAAGGCTGTATTTTTTTTAATTAGCACTCGATGTTAGCGGGGGGGATATGCCTTGATTGTAACAAAGCATAGGTGTCCCACTCTATAACGTTTCCCTTAATCTTGTCTTGGTAGTAGCAAGCCATGTTGGGTCCATTTACTTCTCATTGGTCCAACTCTCCATAATGTTCTTTTTATCTCCTACATCTCATAACTATTCTATACTTCCCTAACGAACTATGTATCTTCCTTTTGGTTTCTTTCTAGTACTAGTACTACTAGTAGTTGGAGATTAGATCCTTTCAACTAATAAGATAATAGTATATGGCAAGATTGGGAGAGAAGAGATTATTTCTCCTTTTTCCCTATCTTTTGGTAGAGTTTGTTAAAAGATGACTAAATTGAGATATAATCTATTAAAGCCACTTTAATGCTTCGAATGAATTACCATTCAAAAGAAGTTGTTACTTGTTGGGATCGTATATTATATTGCTCAAGAAATACAAAGATAATTCTTGTTTCATCATAAGATTAATAGTTTTAATAATTAGGTTATGAGTGATCATAGTAAAAGTTAGTCACGACTGATAAATGACAAAACTATAGGTTCAGTACATAATATTACGTCATATCTCTTTTGGGGTACAGAGGTGATCACAATGGGTGCTAAGAAAAACCACCCAATCCAACGAGTCCAGTCATTAGTTGATTTTTCATATAGTTATTCAACTCAACATGTCATACTTAAAGTAACTCTTTTTGTACAAATTAATTGAAATCAAGAAGAAAATTGATAACTTTTTGAGATATTAGAGTGACCAACGATTTAAGAAATCAACCCTTATCGTAGCAAATAATTCACTTAATTAATAACTTAACTTAAGTACTCTAAGATTATTTAAGACATAATAAATATAATTCAATGAATAAAATTGTGGTTTCTCTACATTTTCAAATTCTAATTAATATGCAATTGTGTTGAGTGGAAATGAAACAATGCATATAATACATGAAAGTGAGTTGTAGACAATGTAATAAGTAGCAATTCCTCCTCTGTTGGTTTGACCTGAGCCTATTCAAATTTTGGACCGTCAATACGTTGTTTTGGAATGTGATGTCACATGCTAATTTCTAAGCATTTGGAGATGTCACCTTTGTCAAATGGAAGTGGTTACTACATTAAACATGTGAAAACTATACCTATTTGCTCTTTTTGGGTACTTTTTCTAAATTGAGACCTTGCAAGGAAACAGTTGTTACTTTGAGTTCAATTTGTAAAAACAACGTTAAAAATAGCATAGGACTTGGTCGATCTCTAGTTTTGTATCTGCCAATTTCCACCTTTTCTTTTTGTAACTCTGACCCACTAAGTTTCGACAGGCCAATGATCAATGTTCCCTATTCTAAAATTAAACTAATATATGCAATATCTTTTCATACCAAAAAAAAAGTAAAATGCGGAAGAAGATGAATCTAGTTCAATAGAATAGTTATTGCAACAATTAAAATTGTTGGGTTGCTTACTTGATAAACGAAAAATTAAAAAAAAAACACATAAAACATGTTGTGTATAGGAATACGTTGTGTTATTTTTTATTAACTTAACGTGTGTCTATGAAATTTAACTAAAAACACATTGACAATAATACGTACAAGTTAAAACAATGTGAACTTTATATATTGTCACTTGCATCATTAACGTTATTTTGGGGTGACATATGTGTAAATTGGACCAAGTTATCCCTTTTTGGGGGGTACAGTATCCTCTCGAGATACACTTTTGAGATTTCGCTAAGTATAATATCATTATTGATTAATTTAAATTTATAACTCCATATATATCTATAAGCAGGGGGGAAGTTTTTATAGGCAAAGCTAGAATATAAAATATATAGATTTGGAATTCTAGTCCAGTGGATTTTAGATTTATGATTTGTTGTATGTACAATATATAATTAAGTTATTAAGATAAAATATATGATCTAAATGAAAGTTATTAAATTCGACAAAATATGTAGATTGGAATGTACATTCTACTTATAATATTTCATTTTTCAGATTCGAAATTATCAGAATTCTATCTATTTCATCGTATTATCCCGCGACGGTGGAATTACTTTAGTGAAAGAATGACACACATGATGTGTATGAGACGCAAAACATACGTTAATTAGGCATGTAAAGAATATAGTGCTTGTTCCTTTCATATGAGCAGGAGAAAGCTGGGAGCTCAACCTAATAACCTAACACATTCTACAGCTGTACTTGACGAGACGTGCAGACTATAAAAAATTTCTAGAAAATCCAGGAATTTCAATTTATCAAACAAGTAATATTTCAGGTACAAACTAGTCAAGAATATGCACAATTAAATTTTTTTGAAAATCATTTGTCACTTTATTTTTTTCTTATTCGATGTTCGAAACTTACATTAAAATCTTAATTACAGAATTCAATCTGAACTGAACGCGCACGGTGGAATCCTCATAAAAAGTAATAACCCTACTAATGCACTATAGCATTATTAAGTGAAAATTATTATGCATGTTGGCCACAAACCAACAAGAACATAACAAAGGACAGCATGGATAACCTATAGGAGTGTACGTGAGAAATCAAACAACGAAAAAAATTAAATTAACACAACAATTAAAAATTTAATAACGTTAAGGGTAAGGTTATTGTTAAAAAATTTAAAAATTTGGAATAAAGTTGGAATATTTGTCTGTTTCTACCGACCAGGGTAACAACTTTGTTTTTGCATCATGTTGTCCCAATTTCTATGTTGCCTTTTAATTATCACCTTTCTCAAGATGTCTAAAAGTATTTATTTTTCTAAAAAAATATTTTAAAATCTTTTACATTTAGGACCCTTTTACTTATTTCTAGGCAGAAAATTTGATAATTAAAAGAAAAAATGCAAAGAAAGCTGCTGTATATCTGAATGTTTTGTCTCATGTAAACCATCCTTGCTGTAATGTCTCTTTATTTTAGGCCGTGTCTTCTGGCCTGGAGAATTTAAATAGTTTTAAATTTCTCAATTAGTTTGTAATTTTGCATGAAGCAATAAATTAATATTGATGTTCATTTCTTGTCTATGCTATAATTTCACTTGTTTAGATACGTACGTTAATAAAGATAATTCACTTCACGGACTAAATTAAAATACTTTTTCTAGATACGTATACTAAAGATATCTGTTTTCACGGATAAAAATAAAATAATTAAAACAGTGCAAATTTGATTAAACTGATTAATCAATTATTCTAAGGAGCGTGGAAATTATAAGTTAATGGAAAATCTTTGTGAAAGCATCAATATTATATTTGTCAAATAATTAAATAATTGAATTTGGTGGATGTTTTTTTTTTTTAGCCTTAGGGGATGAATTTGACCTAATCATAGGGTCAAATAGAATTTGAAAGGGTGTAACCAATTAATAACAGTCCACAAAAGACTCAATTGTCCCTTGTTGACAAGAATTAATAAGAAATATTTTATGGCGATTTAACACAAAAACTATTAAAGGTTGCTTCGAAATACAGATAAACATTTTTTCATCTAGTTTCTTGTCAGCGTGTAATCTTTTTCCTTATGAAACGATATATTAAATATATTTATGTGAATTTAAACTTTAATCAAATTTTAAAATGAATATCGAAACGAGAAAAGAGGTAGAGGGACAAAAAGAAGGAATGTAAGTGGTTTGGAATTTGGAATGTCAAATATTGCGTGTTATTATTCCCTTTAGTCCCCGCGTTTCCGGGAAGCCCACTTTTTATCCTTGAACATGCTATTGAGTAGTATTTTAGTATGACTTTTTTTTTAATTGTTATTATCTTTTATATTTGCTATATATACATATTTTGAAACAGCAATAAAAAGTTCTTTTTCTTTTCCAATTCGTTATGATTAAAATAGGGGTCACATAGTGGGGATTTTATATGAGAAACCATACCCCAAATTGTCAAAAGTGGAGCAGTATTTCCACAAACTTTGATCTATAGATACTTTCCCCTTTGGCATTTTTTGGAGTCGGAAAGCAAAAGTTGCGTATGTAGCTATAGGAGTTGACGTTTTAAAGACACAATATTGTGCCTTATCACTTCTTTCTATACTTTTAATAAATTACCATTGAATTTGAGCGAGACAGATTCAGAAGGGTATATTCATATAAATTCAAATACATTTCCTAATTCGTTATAATTAATGTTCTCTTATGGAAGGTGTAAAACAAATACTATAAATATTTTGAAATAGAGAAAGTAATGCTTTAAAGGCTGGAAGTCATCTTAGCTTGTGCGGAAACTAATTTCCGATTATTAATGGGTGAATTGTTGAAAATATTTCTTAATAAATAGTATAGATTAATAATATGAGATTACAAAGTTACATTAATTATTTAAAAATTTACTTGTGATGGTTCTTTTGTAAATGATCTTTTTTTAAAAAAAAAATATGGCAAGTTATTATAATAATAATTTAAATTTGTATGAGAAAATGTTGAAAGTCATTTTAATTGAATGATATTTAAAATATAGACAAAATTTAAATAATAACTATAAATTGCGTAAATTAGCCATATGAAAATGTTGCAAGGCCCATAGGTTTGGTTGGAATTGGGATGGTCTTTAATATAAATAGTTCATGGACACATAACAATTGGACCGAGTGTAACCATTCGGCCCATGTTTAAGGACTTCGCGGGCTATTAAATTGACCCGAGTCTGAATAGAGAGTCCAGGTTTCACTTTAGGCAAAACTTGAATGGTTTGATTCTCTTTATTTTTCAGTCAAGGATTTGGATGGATCAACTCTGTAGCTGCCGAAGCAACATGCCGGAGAGACGACTTCAGCTTTGGAACACGGTAAACTGACCGCCATTCAGCCTTTATATTTTTTCATTTTCCCGGTGATTCTCGAAATCGCAACTTTCCAAAAGTAGTTTGTTTCCATGTCTCGGAAGTTTAGCTTATAATTTTTGCTTCTCGTCAAAATGAATTGTTTCAGTTCATTGTAAATTTTTCCGGTCGATGTTCGTATGCAGTTATTTTGCAAACTGAACACTTCGCTCAGTAGGCTAAATGCATATCGAAATCAGTAATACTTTTTGTTAGTAGAAAATGAGATTATGTAGTGCTAGACGACTAATTTGTTCCTACAAGATATTGAATGGAAGATGTCCAATTAGAGCAATATGCATATTGAATTTTCAAATAGCTAATCCAACTAGTTTAATGTTAAGATGTAATTGTTGTCGCTGTAACAGGTTTTAATCAATTGTTTGTTATATTTTTCTTTTTATCGAGGGAATAATGCTTGAGTGTCTAAATTATATAAAAACTAGCTCTGCATTGTTCTGGTTCAGAGTCATTAAATGTTTAATCACCATTAACATGTGTATATTGTTGGATTGTTTTGGCCGTGTGGCTACAGAGTTTTTAAACTATACGTTCTAACTAGATAAATCGAAAAATTTCTATTCCCTTCCTAAGAGTGAAATGGTGAGGATCCTTGTTTGATTTTTTTGAATATCTCCTTCCTTGGATTAGTACTATGACACATATATAGGAAGCTCAGTTTGAAATTTGAATGAGATTTATCTTTTCTTTTTTTTTCAAATTCAAAATTTTAGTAATCCCTTTAGATACGTAGCAGGAGTAGCTTGTTAAGAAGAGTAAGTGCTATTGTGTTGCTAATATATAGAGAGTGTACATTCCATTCATCATTTAAAGCAGCGTGATAGTTCTGGCTTCTACTTAGGTAGTGCTGTTGTTGTCCTTTAAATTGGCATTGCTGCTTTGCAAATTATATTGCTATTGAAATATGCATGGCCCAACTAGATTGTTCTATGATTTTTTAGAGAGCGTAAACCTATATCCTTTCTTAGATCTACCAGGCTTAAAGACTTTCAGAGCATTTGCAGTATAGCCTTATAGGTGCTGGAGTCCTTGGGCTTAGTAGCTTTGCAAACATTGCTTAAACGGGATAGGATGCGTCATGGTCACCAAGAGCATGGATATTTCCACTGAGAGTCGCTAATTTCTGTTGTTATCTTGTTGAAATGGCATATGCATTGGGGAATTGAAGAAGAAACTAAGGCCATGGTGGCAGAAATTGACGATGAGGCTAATGATGAAGGTTAGATGTTCACTCGACCTGGAAAACTGAGTGGATCGAGTTCCACAGCCTTATGCTAATGAAGCAGCTTCCGGCTTTGATAATGACGGAGCCTATCCTCCTGATCTACGTCTTATGACTTAGGTAATCTATAGAAACAAGTACTTCAATTTCTTCTCTTAGTGAATTTTGGACCAGATCAAGTGAGTTTCAGTTTTAGATGGCTGAACATATCAATAAGAAAAGAAATTTGAATTAACTTGCATTATCAGACCACATATATCAGACTGGAATAGCAGTTTAGAATGGATAAAGCATAAGGAAAAATGTGTGCACCCGTTGCTTGATATTTTAACTGTACTTTGTTAAGTATGTGGCAATGATTTGTTTGGAGTCGTCTCTTCTTTGGAGTCTATGATAGAGTTTGCCAGTTTGAATTACCTGTATATTAGAAAATAAGGAAGATAGAGTTTTGATTGATCTAATTTAATATTGACAGCGGGAGCAGATTCATGAAGGTAATTTTATTTGATTTCTTGAAATTTTGTAGGTACATGTAAGATATGAAACCGAAGACTAAATGATTTAAACCTTCTAATTTCTTTTGCAATATGGAGAAAGGATCATCTCTGCTATAGCAAACATTACATGGAATAATAACTGATTCCCTCGCATAAGCAATGCTGTAAGAAGAAAAGAAAAGGTGATGCAAATTAAGTAATAACCATCAAAGCTTCTATATTACTAGTAATTAATTGATCTATGTAATTTATGGATGGCGAACCCCAACTAATCTCATATCATCAACCACAGGACCACACAAGGAGCCAGAATGATCATTCTTCATGTGGTAGTATGTGCTCAAGAACCTGACTCTGGTGCGCTCAGTTACTGCGGTGAACCGAAGCTTGGCCCGTTTGAATCCTCCTTTACCTGCAGATTCATAGGGGACTCGCAAAGTGATCTTTCCAGCAAATGCCTCTATAAGCATAGACCCTTGGCAGGAATTGCTTGCATCTCCAACTGAGAACATAAGGTCATACACTTTTCCCTTTTGAGTCCTCACTATTTGTGCTATTGCGCTTTCTCTTCCAGCCACAAGCTCGATGGCGCGTTTGCCCTCTGGCACGGTGAAGTGTTCAGCATCAATGTATTTTACTGCCTTGAGAGATTCAATCATCCATCCAGGCAAAGGTGAGTGATCATCCTCGATGTTTGGAGGAATTAGAACACCCCAGCTTGTGTTGGGGAAGATATATGGACCCTCTTCAAAGTTTCCGTTCTTCAACATGTTGCCTACTTTCAATTTTATGCATTAGAATTTAAAGTTTAACTTTTAGACACATAGTATAAAAGTTTTACATGGCCCTCCAACTTAAATGCACATTGACGAGAGAGGAGGGGAAATTACCTCTTTGTCTATGTGGGTTTTTTAGAGCTTTGAGAGCGATGAAATCAATGAGTGGGCCACAAGCTGGGTCCTTCTCAACTGCTGGATTGTGTAAAGTGATTTCAATCTCATTAGCTTGAGCCAAGAAACCCCATGAATAGGAGTCCCAACCATCACTACTATACATAGTCTGCATAGGAAGCATTCCCCAGTCATTAGGTTCAGTGTTAGGCGACACCGACACATTGAGTTTCTCTTCTTGAGCACAAGTCCTAGCAAAGTTGAAAGACAGAGAGTAGAAAGACCCACTAGTGACATTCGTGACTCTGGTCTTGATGGAGGCGTCTTCCCCAAGCCTAACAGCGAAAGCTCCTTCAGGCACGGGAAGCAACATATCACCTTGTGTTTGTCCTGATCTAATGTATTCTACATAGCCTGATATTTCCCAGTGAGGTATTGCGTGTGGGTCTGTCACTTTTGTGCCCTTCATTTGTGATGCTTTTGGACCTTGCTCGAAGTTTCCATTAGGCAATAATCCTGATCAATCACAAGGTCGAAAGGTTACATATATAACCAATTTCAAGTAAGTGTGGATTTATAACTTGCAAGACATGATAAATGACCTATTACAGCAGGTATAGCTACACTAATATGTGAATTTTTTTGTGTTACCTGTGTATATAAGTTTAAGATTATATCATCAAATGTTCTTTAACATATCAAGTAGACCTTGCTAGGTCGTTAATTGCCATTGGATGATCACATCACATGTCGTGTTTCAGTAATCACGTGAACAAAGTAAGAGCAGATCATTAGGTACTTTTGTTTTCTCATTTTTGTGCCCTATTAACTTCATGTAACATGGCTTGAATGAGGAATAAACCTAAATTGGTAAAGCTTACCAGCTATGTTTTTCAGCTTGGGCTACTGCATATCAATTAGAATACTATTTTTTATGTTGAAAAAAATCGAAAGTGGGGTAGAGAATATTGATGTGACAACTTGGTGTCGGGAGATCGGTAGCAACTGGCAAGGCTCGGATCTTCTAATTAAATAAGGGAAACTTACATAAATATACCCTATTAAGAAAATATTTATCATTTATAGTAATAACAATTTTTCCACTTAATCACTTTTAATATATTTATAATACAATTTTAATTCATATTACAGAGAACAGTTTATAAAACACATATAATATAAAATTTAATACATATATATTGCATAATTCACTTTTAATACAAATCTTTCCTATTTATCCCTATTTAGATAAGTAATATTTGAAATTTTTATGTAATCAAGAAGCTATATTAAATAGGTACTCTCTCTATTCCATTCTAGTTAGACTTTTTTATTTACATGCTCTTAAGACATGGTAAATAAAAAGGACGGGTTTACCAATTTACTCCTTGAAGAAATATTTTTGGAATTCCACAAACTTGCTTACAATATAAAAAATACATAAGAGTAAATAGTAATGGTAAAATGAGAAAAATTTATTGCCCCAATCCTCTAGAGCAGTTATTATTCCGATTCCCAATTCTGGAGCAGTTATTGCCCCAATCCTCTTAAAGATTCATGTGCAAAGAGCTGAAACTTATTCACGAAAACAGTACCTCGTATGAATATATAACCCCTACATCTATCTTATCTTTGAAGTAAGTAGGATTGTCCATAGAAAATTGACTTTAAAGTAAGTAGGATGGTCCATGTTTATTTATTTAAATTTCACCACCCATCATACTATTCTTTTCTTCTTCGTACAAGCTTTTACCATAGATCTTCTAATAGACAGCTCAACTATATATATGCCACTCATTTTTACAGTAGATCATAAGTTGATTCAGAATTGAATAGACTTTTTTCTGAATGAATGGCTTAAGATTTTCTCATGGCTATAGAACTTAGCTCACACCTAAAGTTTAGCAAACACAAAAGTCCAAACGACTAATAAGCGAGTAAATGAAGAAATGCAAGCAAATTTGCATGTAACAAATACTTCAAACACACAGTGACAGGAATATAAATTAGTGAACAAGGGATTCAAAATTTTTTTATCATACATAGCAATATTTGTTTTTACCATCTCACTAGTATGTTAAAGAGGTTACTCAGCTTATATTAAACGGGATTCTTTTTCTTCCTATTTTCAAAATATAATTTCTTACTATCAAGTTAAAGTAAAAACATACCGTCTTGTACAGATAAAGCAACATTTATGGTGGCAAAGAGCAGCACTATATTCAGTATTCCCATTTTCTTCATTTTCATATACTTTGAAAAAAAGAGAGGAAAAAGGATATGTCTGATGAAAATTCACATATGCTCGACTGCCTTTTATGAATTTCTGTTAGTTAAATGGCCCTTTAGATTGGAAGAATTTACAGTATCTGCCACCAGCATGTTGCTATTTCGTAGCAGGTCCAAGGAAGCTAACAGATTGCACGTGCACTTCCCATGCTGAGGAACAAAGACAATTAAGAAAAACATAAATTAATTAAATAAAACTAATCAATATCCTTAATAATCGTAAAATGTTGGAATATATTATGTCTCTATTCATTTTTTTTTAAAGGAATATATTATATTATGAAGGTATAAAGGTTTCTGATTTCCGTTAATATTTTTAATTATAAAATTCTTTCATTTAAATAACAATAAGATGTCCAATAATGTTTGATTTAAGCTGAAAGCAATCTAGGGAGATAATTTTTTGGTCAAGCATCTTGCACGTTTAATGACAGCCGTGATTTGATCTTAGGCAAATGGAATATCTTGAATTAAGTGATACTACTATTATTGTTGCGCGCTTATATATAATTTTATTTTACCTTTAATTTATTCGTACATTTCTCGTTTCAATTTATTTATTTATTTTCTCTTTTAACAATTCTTATATAACATGGTTATTACACAAGATAAAAAGAATCATTTCAATATATTCTATATATATATTTTTTTAAGATCACAAAATCTAAAAATAACTTTTAGTTTTTAAAATTTGATATCAATTAAATCCAGATGAATTAAGAAAAATGAAAGGAGTATTACGGAACTAGAGTCTTATCTGATGGTCACCTAGAGGGTACCCTTGGCATTTTAATTCTTCTTTTGCTTTTTTAATGTAATAGTAAATTCATAAAATTCCCGTCCAAGTAACATTACCCCTTTACATACCGACTTTCACTTGATTGAAATTAAATTTTATCATATTTTGATTGCAAAATTATTGACTCTATAAAGTGTTGGTATCTTATGTTTCTCCTACAAGTAGACAGAAATTATTAATATACAAGGTTCTGAATCATGATTTTTTTTTGTTTATTAAATTTGGATAGAGTATTTATGATATCGTATTTCTATTTGAATAAAATGACGCTACAGAAGTCTCATATATTTTATTTACAATTTTTTCATGAAAAAAGATGATATAATGAAATAGTGTTGTAATGGCAATATTGCAAACGAAGCTGATGAATTACAGAAGGATACAAAGGACCTCAAAGATGGCATCCTACCTTGAGCACATGGCTTGTGGCAGCTGGAACCTAGTAAAATAAATAAATAAAATAAGTAATAATGAAAATGAAGAGAGTAAAATACTAGGCGAAAGAGAGTTACTCAAATAGTAAGTATTCTTTATTTTCAATTCAAAAATTGTGAGTTCGAATCACAAAAAAACTAAAAATAAAAAGAAAAAAGAGTAAAATACTAAGCACATACTATAATCAATATTACAATCTTTCACTACCTATTACCATTCTATATATGCTACAAAAAATAATGATACTAAAACACAGAACTGAGTATTATATATTTGATGATAGAATTGGGATTGCAATGTCAGTCAAAATTCACATTCTACTTGGGTAACATAATTTGAATTTCAACAAAAAAAATTACTATTTTTCTCTTCCCATTATTCACGGATTTATACTCATTTTTTTAAAAAAAAATAAAATAAAATAACTGTTTACAATGGACGTGGCAATCAGAGAACATAACAAGGGACGTGACATTTAAGATCTGATACTGAGGCAAAACCCATGTGCAGCCTCCGGATTGAATATTTTTAGAATTATTCGCCTCGTATCACCATTTTTCATGACGCTATTAAAAAAAATAAAAAATAAAAAATAAAAAAAATAAATAAATATTACATTTAAAAGTTGTTATATAAATAATTTTTATGTGATTTGTGGATTATTATATAGTAGGAGATTTGTCTAGTACCATAACATATTCACCATGCTCATTTAAAGAACTGAAGGTTGTGATTGAGATTATTTAGAAATTGACAAATATTTTTTCTTTTTCCAATAATAAATTTATCATAAATTTTAATGATAAATATAATTAATAAAAATTTATATAGTAAAGTCATTTTATTGTGATTGATGCATAGTCATTGAGTTTTCACATCGATAGATGATGAATGATTATTGATTTGTTTGTATGATATTTGTGCGATTATTATATCATATATTATCTTTGAAATAAATTAGGTCAAATCATTAATTATTTTTATACTATTAGAATCATGCTAATTCCAAATTTTGATAGGAGAACAACCTTCCCCGGCCCTCAGCGCCCCCACTTCCAATGTTGTTATAACATGATTAACGTCCAATTAGTGATTTCAATTATCTTAATTAATTATTTGTCTCCCTGTCTCTCCCTTCAAAATGACACTTAGTTTTGGTCGGCAATAATCGAAAAATGTTTAATCTCCAAGACATGTGCAATTGATGATTACACAAAGGAGTTAGGTGGCGCGATCGAGAATTATGATATTTCAAATTTAAATTTGAACAAAGATTAAACATAAAATTAAGTAATTTTTAATTTAAATTTCATAAATAGAGTTAATTTATACTTATATCGGTAAAATATAGCTCAAAACAGAGTTAAAGTATGGCTTATGAGATTGACTAGAGAGCCCACTAATATGTATAATTTATTAATTTTAAACCAATTACTTAAGAAAAATAAAAATGTCAAATCTATAAGATTCAATTTGCCTGTAATATCAAGTATCTTGTAGAATCAATTAAAATATATGTTAGCAAGCTTAAAATAGCGCGGTTATTACAAAATAAGAAAGGTGGGCATAGATGTGTAGTATTAAGTATGTAAGCAATTTTCCATCTTTAGTAAGTATGACAGGACTTAGAACTTAAAATTTTGTCATGTAGGGCATTTTGCAAGAAATTCAGGGATGAAACGTTGTTCTGTTTTGTCTATTCAAATCTCAAACAAAAGAAGCACCTTAAATTAGGACAATATTGTTGAAGTCAATGCGCAGGAGATGTTTGCTTACTTTTTTTTCGTTCATAATATTTTGTCTTTTTAATCTGATGAATTATTAGCATTGAAAATATATACTTGATCAACATAGAAAAATTGAGTGAATAATTCATGTTCATTGGTCAAATAAATAAATTTATATTCATAGATTGAAAAATTGACTTAAAAAATAATTCTAAAAAAAGTAAAATAGTAAATTTAATTTCTTAATGCATGTGAAATAAAAATAAGGATATATACATTGAAATGGAGGGAGTGTCATCGTTGTCATATAACATATTCACTTGCGAATACTACTGGAGTACATAATTTGAAATGTACAATCTATATGCAAGTATAGGTAATTTGAAACATGAAATCTATATAAAAGTATCAGTTCTATTTGAATTGTATCTTTTTATATTAAGTTTTTTTATTAAATACTTTCACTTTACACTTGATGACACTACCTTATAGGAATAACTTAAAAATTAAAACTACAAAATCCAACGAGTATTTTTTATTTAATAGTCCTTTGTGAATAATACTTGAGCTCCGTTTAAATATATAATATGGAATCATGATATTAGATCAAATGATATAGAGTTAAAGTTTTGTTAACTTGGACTTGTAATTTGAATTTCTTTAAGTTGTCTTTATATATATATATATATATATATATATATATATATATATATATATATATATATATATAAACGAAAATTGTGAAGACTAGTAAAATTTCGATAATTCATACATGATCTTACTAAATGAACAAATCATACTTCATAATTAAGATATCGAAATATCCTAAGGCATCACATCAATAATCATATAACTCTGTGTTTCTCTAATAAATATATATCTTGTAATTACAAGCTCTTAAATATGAACAATTTTATATAAAAAAACACTTGTCAACATTCAATAATAGTAATAACTAGTTATTCTTCTTTGTCTTTCTTCAAACAATCTCTTTATAGATTAGTGAGTATGAATCTTTCTTTTCGTAAAATAAAAAATAATGGACTTATTTTTCAAAATATACACTGATGGTAAAGTTCTACTAATTTTTTCTGAAATCATGATTTGAAATCCCCAATGCTTTTGGGAGAATGTAAGATTTGAAAATTATGATTCCAAATCACATATTTATATGTAAAGCTTAAATCATGTGTCCCATCAAACTAAAAATAAATGTAAAATGAAACTAATGTACATTTATGAAGTTAGTTGCCACCCCGCTATTCATTATTGGGCTCTATGAAATTGCGGGAAGCGGCCCAAATAATAGATCAACTTTTGAGATCTGCAAAAGCCCAATATAATCATGCAACCAAAACATTAGAAATTTAGAAAGAATTACCCAAAACATGTTTAAGGTAATGCTTTCAATTAAGGGCAACTTTCACG